TGCATTCACAGTTATGTCGCGAAATGCTTTGAAATACATTTCGCGACGCTCATGCATTGAATTTCGAGGGCGCGGAAATGCATTTCAATACATATCTTCGCTACATGAATAACCCCATAATAATGCTGTAAATTTCAAAATTCTGAAAATCTAGAAGTTCTAAAAATTCTGATAATGCTGATAATCCTAATAATCCTGGAAATCCTAAAAATCGTAAATCGCTTCTGGAAACTTCTAGAAGATTCTGGAATCTTTATTTCTGAATCACCGCCAAACCCGAAAACTCCCCGCTTTTGACCGTTTTCTAGGTGTGACCTAGATTTCTCAGTTTTCGAAAAAAGTTTCAAAAAAAACCTTCTGGAATTTTTTTTCGCTTCTTAAAGCGGTTTTAGCCGAATTTTTTAAAGCTAATTTTTTGAAAAATCGCGAAATCAACCACAAAAATTTTGCTACCGTAAAACCTGTAATAAAAGGGCTCCTAACGTTTCAGCTTTAAGCCAATTTATCTCGATTCCTGTCACAGATATAAAAAAGTTGTCAATTGATAAAATATTCTTCATAATATCACCAACATCTTATCAGTCGACACACTTTAGATATCTCTTACAGTAACCGAAATAGTTGAGCTCAAACTTGACAGTGTGGGGGCCCTTCTATTATAGGTTTATATTAAGAACTTCAAAAATTCCCATATTTTCAGTCCGAAACGCTCTCGTCAGCATCAGCAGATCGAATCTGTCCAGCCAGCCAAAAACAGACGATTTTCCTTGGTCGAACCGAGTATCGAGTGTCCATGTTTGATGAGAAGAATCGAGGAAAAACGTGGAATGCGACGTTCAACGACTACTCGGCTCATCTACTTCCAGAAGTCAATTCGTGGCCATTCCAGCATTATACGTCGTCGTCGCATGGACAAATTCTCACTTTTGATAAGGAAACAGGTAGCTGGAAGTTGTGGAAAAAATCGGAACATTCTGAAAGTCGTGAAATGTTACAAATTTGAGAATCCAGTGTATCCCAAGAGTTCTCAGATTCCTAAAAATCCTAAAAATTCTGAAAATTAAAAAAATATATAAAAATCCAAACAATTCTGAAAGTCCGAAAACTCTAAAAATTCTGAAAATTAAAAAAATCTCAAAAATCTGAACGTCTTCAAATTCCTAAAAATTCTAAAAATCCTAATATTCTAAGAAACTTAAAATTTTGAAAAATTCGAAATTCTAAAAATTCTGAAAATCTAGAAGTTCAAAAAATCTGCAAGTTTTGAAAATCCAAAAATTCTAAAATTCTGAAAATCCAAAAATTCGAAAATCCATAAACACTGAAAATCTAAGAATCCTTAATAATTCTGAAAAATTCTGAAAGTCCTAAAATTCGAAAAATGCTAAAAATCTAAAAGTCCAAAGATTATTGAAATCCTAAAATTTCAAAAAATTAAAATTTCTGACAATCTAAAAATTCTAAAACTCCAAAATCTGAAATTTCTGAAAATCCTGAAAATCTAAAAATTCAAAAATTCTGAAAATCATGATACTCCTAAAAACCTAAGAATCCGAAATATCCTGAAAATCCAAAAATTCGAAAAATACCAAAATTCTAAAAATCCTAATACTCCTAAAAACCTTAGAATCCGAAATATCCTGAAAATTCTAAAATTCCGAAAATACTTAAATTCGAAAAATCTGAAAGTTCTGAAAATCCGAAAATCCTAGGAATCCTAAGCATTTTGAGAATCCAAAAGTCATTATAACTCTGAAAAGTGAAAAATTCTGATAATTCTACAATTCTGAAAATCCAAAAATTCGAAAAATTTATAAAATCTGAAAATCTAAGAATCCTTAACAATTCTAAAAGTTCTGAAAGTCCGAAAACTCTGTAAATCCAAAAATTCTGAAAAATCTGAAAATCCTGAAAATCCCAAAAATTAAAAAATCCAAAAATTCTAGAAATCCCAAAATTCTGAAAATTCTAAAAAATCTCTAATACTCCTAAAAACCTTAAAATCCGAAATATCCTGAAAATCCTAAAAATTCTGAAAATTCTAAAAATTTGAAAGTTCTGAAAATCCAAAAAACCTAAGAATCTTAAGCATTCTGAAAATCCCAATATCCTTATAATTATGATATTTTAAAAATTCTGAAAATTAGAAAAATCTGATAATCTAGAAAAATTCTGAAGTCCGAAAACTCTAAAAGTCCTAAATTTTTGAAAAATCGAAAATCCTGAAAATCTAAAAATCTTAAAATTCTAGAAATCTTAAAATTCTGAAAGTTCTAAAAATCCTAATACTCCTAATACTCCTAAAAACCTAAGAATCCGAAAAGTCTTGAAAATCTTGAAATTCTGAAATACCTAATATTCTTAAAGTCCGAAATCAGAAACCGAAATCCCTAAAATTCTTAAAAGCCTAAAACCCTTGAAATTCTAAATTTCAGAAAATTCGAAAAATCTGAAAGTTCTGAAAATTTAAACATTTTACCAATCCTAATCATTCTGAGAATCCCAAAATCCTTATAGTTTTGAAAATTGAAAAATTCTGTAAAATTTGGAAATCTGAAAATTCTAAAAATCTCAAAAACCATAAAAAACTGAAACTTCTGAAAGGCCTAAAGATTTGAATTCCAGGAGAAATCCAATGGGAAGCCGATCTGAAACAACCAATCGTCGCGTTGTACCTTCTCCGCAACGATGGTCTCCACAAGCTTCCATTCGAAGTGATGGGGAAAGAAACGATGGAAAACGTGCAACAGGTAATCATAAGGATGCAATATTTATTGCAAAAAACGTTTCACAAAAAAAAACAACCAGTATCAAGAGAATGAGACGAAAGACACAGACAGAAAAATGCAGAAATTTTGAGAAAATTGGGGGAGAAATTTGAAAAAACAATAAAACAAAAAATGAGATTCACCGTACATTTATTTAAAGTGGTAATAATAGCAAATTCGCTCCACCGAGAGCCAAAACTGACTTATGGTTCTTCAGTTCGTTGACCATCTGTTGGATCATTGTGCGCTTCCATAGCAAGATCCTCGTCTGGTGGTGGTGGTGGACCACCAGCGGTTGATTTTTTGGGCTTTTTGGAAGCAGTACTTCTGAAGGAATGCAGGCTAGGGGTTACTGTAGGAATTTGAAAAAAATGTAGAAGGAAAAAAATGTTAAAAGAAGAAGAAGCTAATAGGATAAGTTTCAAACGGCACCAGAAGGTTCTAATAGTAGATTTAAACTATTTACTACAGTGCAATAGATACTACAGTGCAATAGAGCGCACTTACTCTAAAATAGTCTAGGTGCGTACCACAACAAACCATTCGCTCTATACATTCTCTCTTTGTCTCACTTTTTGCGATGTTCATAGGGAGCTGTGTAGAATGGTTCTGGCTCGAGATGAACCTCATCTTCGACGTCTTCTTCTTCGCTGTTGGACACACTGGAAATTAAAAAAAAAATTGGGTTAATGTAGCTGGATCGAAGTTCTCGATAATTTGTTTTTTTTAATATGGGTTACTATAACTGGACCCAACCTACCTATAATCATAGTTTCGTCGAACCATATAACCGTGCACCGGACACAACGCCTTCATCACTTTTATGGTTCCATCAGAATGGTATTTGCAAAGACAGGGAAGGTCTTCACCGGGAGCCAGATATCGGCAGGAGCCGTTGGTTCGGGAAGATTCTGATGTTTCTTCATCGTCGCTTTGTTCCTGGAATGATGTAATGGTTCCTAGATTCTAGAGATCCCAGAGGTCCTAGAATCTGGACCTGGACCTGCACCTGGACCTGCACCTGGACCTGCACCTGGACCTGGACCTGGACCTGGACCTGGACCTGGACCTGGACCTGGACCTGGACCTGGACCTGGACCTGGACCTGGACCTGGACCTGGACCTGGACCTGGACCTGGACCTGGACCTGGACCTGGAACCGGACCTGAAACTGGAACCTAGATCCGATGGATCCTAGATCCTATGAATCCTAGATCCTATGAATCCTAGATCCTATGGATCCTAGATCCTAGATCCCAGATCCCAGATCCCAGATCCCAGATCCCAGATCCCAGATCCCAGATCCCAGATCCTAGACCCTGGATCCTTCCTCACCTGTATCGCTGGCGGTAGATCCTCAATAAATATGGACTGCTTGCTCTTCGACGAGTGATTGGAATGAAGTGATCGAATATCGATTACAGACAACTTGACGCTTTGTGTCGTACTGCTCTTGTGGAGCGTATTCAATGAGCCTCTGGAAGCTCTTTGAACAGGTATGGAATGATGAGATTGGGCCGATAGCGAGCTGCAATTTGTCATGGATGTCTCACAGGGCTTTCACGAGAGACCGAGATACGGTAACTCAGGATGGTGCTTGTGAGTGTGTATCCATGCGAAAACATGCAACTCTGTGGGGGTTGTTTTCATGCTCTATTTGCTAAGGGTGGATGCGAGGAACTAAGGATTGGGTCAAAATATGATACTTACGATTTTCGTTCTTCGGTCTTGTCCTTATAGTAGCCATTAGCGGCCATGCAAATTAGCGACACAATCTCCAACATGGACACTACTGAAGCGCCAATCCACAGTCCAGTAAGACCACCAAGATCGGCTAGCACTGATGTTAGCGTGTAGGCTGGCGTCTCTTTCATCGTTTCATAGTTCAACTCCTCATAGAAAATCTGGACCATCGCCGCATTCTTTCGATACTTTTCAAGACACATAAAGTCGCCTGGCAGGCATTCCATGACTTTGGCAGATCCAGAAGGCCATCGAGCCGAGGAATAGGTCACTTCGTAGTTGGTTTCTCTAGAAGGGTTTTTCGGGTATTCTAAATTTGAAAAAAAACACTCACTGGCAAGGCTGATGACAATAACAGTCCGGTATCACTGACTCTTTTCCTTTGGAATACAACTCTCCGAGATACAGCGTTGTGTTTCGGAGGCATTCTCTCTGCTCCATATTCACTGCTTGACATGGTTTCGTATCATTCCCAAACATCTCGGCGATCGGATACATTGGATCTGCACACCCACAAGTGTCAACGATCACCTTCTGAGCACAACTTCGGTGACACGCTTCTACGGAATAATGGAAGCCGTCATAAGCGTAAGTTGGACTATCCTCTCCACCATGACGGCAGTGACCATATGGGGGTTCGAGGCGGATGAATTGTTTCTAGAAGAAATTCATCAAAAAGGCATGCAATGAAAAAGCTCACCATTCGAACTCCAAACGAGGACATGAATCCTGTAGGTGCCGAATAACCAAAAGCATCGGGAAACGGGACGATGTGCTTGTCATGTACAGTAATCCTAAATCCAACTGCATCTGTTGTTGGCAAGTACTCACTGACATTGGCGTAGAGAAGAACACGAAGTCCATAGTTGGCTCCAGCTCTGTGTGAAGCCACTTCTGCTGTTCGGTTGTGATTAAAAGTGTAGCAATTTCCAAAGGTGTTGTCATAATGCAAAATGAAATCACGCTCCATTTGACAATCCTTCTGATTGAAAGAACACTTCAAGATCAGTTCATCCAACTCATACGACATTCCCTCTTTAGCTGATTGTGGCATCTCTCCAACAGCGAACATGAGGTTTTCCTGGGCCTGTGATGTGATTGCAATATCATCAGTGAGCTCTTCAAATCCCAAGGCCTGAGTCACTGCTGGCGCCTCGGTCGTTGTGGTTTCAGCTAGCTTTTCCTCTCGAAGACTCAATTGACTTGCCACCTTCTTGCCAATATCCAAGTTTCCCAATTCGTCGTTTGGATCGATTTCTATGATCACTCCATCGTCTCGCGTCGAAACACAATGATTGTATTCCTTATGACAGAGACATAGGTCCACTTGTTCCTTGATATTCTCATAGAGCTCATTGCCCTTATAGAAGCGCATTGGACAATGACCGGTGTTGTCGACACACTCGGAACATAGCTTCTCTTTCCAAGATGAATCTGGAAATTAGTTTTTTTTCAGATCCTGAAGGTAACCTGTTCCTAACTTTCGAACTCAATCATATCGATTGGTTATCATAATATCAATAACATTTTATCAGTTAACAGATTTCTGTTATCTTTCGAAAGAACCGAGATAATGGAGCTCGTGTTTGAGCGAACTTATGTTATAGAAAAGGAACTCACAAGGAAAACAGGGCCACAGTGTTTTTGATATCGTATCCAATTGGCACAAACATCGCGATGTATGAAGATTCATGAATCCCGCTGTGCTATTGGTGTCGATCTCGATTTTTCCTTTGAAAGCGGCAAAACAAGAACCCTTTCGGTCTCCAGTCAATGGCTCGATATCACAAAGGCACTGGGCGAAGGCTTGATGGTAACGACGGTCTCGTAATCGTGGTTTTCCTTTGGCTTTTCGTTTGGCACGACGGACTGAAAATGAGGCATTGTCATACTGTATTAGCTCTATCAGAGGCGCATCCAAACTGTCAACTTTGAGCTCGATTATCTCGGTTCCTAAGAGATACATCAAAAATTAGTCAACTGATAAAATATTAATGATATTATGATAAATAATTTATCAGTTGACAGATTTTTGATATCTCTTATAGGAGCCGAGATAAATGAGCCCAAAATCTACGGTTCAGATGGGCTTCTAAGGAATACGGTAGCTCCATTTTAAAACTGCTCTCTTACCTTTGGCATGTAGAGCACCGGAAGCAGACAACGCGGCGGCGATTCCTTCTGACTTATCACCAGAACCAATCCGCCTACTGTACGCCTCCATCATCGCCTTGGTGTTGGGATTCGACTGAATCGCACTTTTCTTATACGGATTCAAATTGCATATTGTAATTGACGGAAATGGAGCGTTTTCAAATTTGAGCTGAAATTTCGAGAATTGATACTTTAAACTTGAAATTTGGA